ACCACGTCCCCGTAGATCAAGTTTTCTGGCAGATCGTCTGAACCACTTTTGAAACGGTCACTTTCGGCCGCGTAGCGTCTTGAATACTTGAGGATGAAGTCGCTGAGAATTTCGGGCAGTTCCTCCTTGAAAGCTAGCTCGCTGTCGGTGTTCGTTGTCGCAGGCGGCTTCTTTTCAACGTGACCACTGTTGTCTGCGGCATTTACTGTCGGTTGGGGTCCAAAGCCGACCTTTTCTCGACTACACGGTTGGTAGTTGTGCACGTATCCAGCTTGGGCATTGTTTTCCATGACACCCTGCGCGTACAGTCTGGTATCGGCTGAAGGCACGGGACTCCGTTGTACTGTAGCCATCGGCGCGACGGACACAAGCTGAGGAATGCGAGGTGATTTGTCGTCGGCCTGATGGCCAGCCGGTCTTTGATAGAAATTACACCGGTGACCGTAGAAGTGCGGAAAGGGAAACTCTTTGTAGTAAGAGTACGGGAGGTTGCTGGCTGTGGTCGGAGGGTAGGTGACCATGTGCCGTCTGCGTTGCCACGACGGTGGAGTCACTGACTCCGGCAACTGGTACGAAACCGAGTAGTAGTTCCTACCAGTGCGCACCGACACCGGTCCTCGCTCAAGGATTTTCGGTTCGTCTTCGTGTTTGTGTTCGGTTTCGGTCCCTGGTGCCTCCGATGTTTCGGACGAATCCTTTAACGACATGCGTTCGACAAACGACTTCGCCAGTTCGTCGAAGGCCTCTGCCGGAGTTTTGGTCGTTGAACGGTGAGCCTCATCCCTGGCAGTGGCTTTCCATAGGGCGGTTTCCGTTGTAGACTTAGGTTTCCCGGAAGATGACGACGAAGCGGCACTAGGGCTGGCGTCGTTCATCGCTAACCCAAGTTTCGCCGTCAGTTCGATGTTCCTCAGTCGTCGAGAGTGAAAGAACTGTGCCGGACTGAGTCTCGCACTGGAAGCGTTGTTCTTGGCGGTGTTCGTTGCCGAGGCGGTCGTCGGCGTCGGGGTGCCTGTCCCCCTTGCGCTCACGTCGCCATTGCTGGACCATTTCCTTCGATCCCTCGTAACTCTTTCGGCGTCTCTGCTGGAATCGTTCTTCGATGAACAGCAGATCTCTGGTGCCGACAACGAAGTCTCTGCTTCCTTCGAATACTCGAGCATGTCAGACTTCATAGTCGGGAGAACGGCAAAGCCTGAAGACGACGAACACCGCGTTGCTTGTCTGTCGTGACTACTGCGGTATTCGGAAACGACTCAAAAAGGTAAGGACAGCACGTGAGTTGAAGAAAGTTGTTCACTGCTGAGTGGCTGACGACACCACGACGACGGACGGCGACGACGACGACCAACTGCGGTGTCGGCAAATCTAAACGAAAAACGGTTATTACTGAGGTTATGCAGCAGGGAGGAAGGCACGATCGCCGGCGGACGATTATAAAACCGGAAATCGCGCGCCCGTTTTGACCTACAAAACTTGTTATTTATTCCCTGCAAAAATTCTTCTCTCACGATGACAATCTGCCCGCTGCAGGCGTGAAAAAGAGCAAAACTGACTCCGAGATTGCAGCGGTTATAACTGAGGCTGAAAGAGGAAAGTTGAAAGCCGTCGCCAGTCGTTGGTCACGACCGCATAGCTGCGCTACCGGCTGCAAACGGCTGAACTGGGCTTCACGCGCCTCAACAAAGTCCTATGCTAAGATATTTGAGGAAGCCTTGAGGTGCAGCCGCTTCTTGACTAGACTAACAAATCTCAGCTGTAAGTGCTTTGGCACGTTTTGCCACTGCTTCCTGAAGCGGCTCGATCGACCGCCGGAAGGTTCAGGGAATAGCCAAGATTGACATGAGCAAGTTGCTCAACGGTCTCTGCCCCACTGTCGGCTTTCCTTCTGCAGAAGCTAGGTTCAGAGAGGTGGCACAGGGTCTTGGAAGCTGGAAATACTACTTGACGTTGCCACCGCCGTAGTCCGTCCCAGAAGACAAGTGTTCATCGAAACTGACTGACGGGCTGAGAAGGGTTGTAACCGTGGGACGGCGGTCTCCGTTGAACCGTCGTGATTTTGCCCTTTTTGAGACATCCTTCTTTCTCACGAAGCTCATTGTCCTGCCCCTATCTCTTGTATGATTTTCCACATCTCTTTAGAACCAACAAATCTGTTATTCCAGTCTGTAGTCAGAAGTATGAATGAGGTTAAACCAAATTGGTTCGTAATCAGTTTGATGAACTTCAGTAAAACTCTGTTATAAAGCGGGTTTTGGGAGACAGAACCACTCCTACCGTATTTTGGGAAAATACATGCATAACGGTTAAAATCCCGTCAAAGATTACAGCAAAATCGCTGATGTCGTATCCTGATTTCGTTATATATCACCATTCATCTTATCACTGCATCAGTCTTGTAATCATTCAAGCTCTGCTCTTGTTTTACCAGAATTTGATGTGCATGCCAACTCATGTCACAGTGACTATTATTACCATAAAACATGCTGACCATCCAATCATCACCGCGTCACAGAACATGGAAATTCACTAACGTGCAGTTCGCATGGTGTAATAATCGGCATCTGACACTTTAAACCATCGATGTCTTAAAACTCATAGCATGACACTTCACCACGTGCAGGAGAAGAACTTTGGTATCATCCTTATTAAACAGTAATCCCGTATTGTAGTTGTTAAATGATGAATGCTTCCTCCACGACCACATTTCACGGGTTATCTTGCCGCTTCCTTGATTCTAGCGGCTTAAGGTGGGTGGCGGGG